TTATCAACGAGACGTAACCTGCATTACGTAGCGAACTACAGCTCGTTAGGGCCTATCTTCGATACAGGTTAACCATGTACACCGTGTCCTCATGTCTTCCTACTCTGTTATTGGGATGTGTTAATCATATCTCTAGTCCTATGATTCCATCAGTTTTTCCTTGGCAATTATGTTTTTATTGCTTTTTATTTTTTGATCATTCTTATATTTGTTTTCAACAAAATCAATAAAAAATGTCATTGTTGTGATGACGAAATAGACATAGATGAAAAATATTTGGTCATAATTGAAAAAAAAAGAGAAAGTCGATTTATTTTCATCACAAGAGAAATTCGAAAGAAATTGATAATTGCAAAAAAGACAAAACATTTGAAAGGTAACAATCTTTCAATGGCAATTAAAAATAAGAAGATTTTTCTTATTTTTAATTTCTTAGATATTTTTCTTTAATTATTCCCTAATATCGATTCGAATTCTTTCATTTGTTATCTCTAAAATTATAAATTTCATTTCTGGATTTAGTATTTACTCCTTAGATCTCATCTATAACATTTAGATCGCTCTTTAGTTTAATAAACGCCATATTGTTTTTTAACGATCAATACTATAATTTTGTAGATAGCATTTAATCGATAAATATATTGTGTTTACCATTTTTTATCAACAGATTGAGATATATCAACAGCCGACTTAAAAATATATTCGGATTTTTTTATCTAATGATTCTCGATGGCTCGTTCTATTTTTATTATTATCATCCCTCTCCAATGGAGAGATAGAAGAGATCTTCTTAAAGGTCGCGATCTTGAAAAATAATTACACCATTTCGGACTATATAGAATGTATAAAAAAGGCTAAATTGGCTAATAAATTCATGATTGTTCTTGAATTTCTCTATATTTCCAGCTATGTCTTTTTTTCTTCACGATCATTTTTTTAATTTTCGTTTCATTCTCGCATAGAAGCGAAAATATGCAACGAAAATAAATAAAATTTCTTGTTTTCAACAATTCGTGATTTGAGCAGATGCGTTAATTGGAAAGTTAAGTATTAGGAAGACTCTCGAATATGGAAAAATAATATTTATGTTGCTAACTTGATAATTGATATCAGGTAGCGCAGCACGTCGCAGCTTGTTTTGTGTGACCCAATTTTCTGTTTATTTATAAGGAGAAAAAAGCGACTTGACTGAACGAATAATTTTTTTTCATTTATGTACTTCGTTTTCGACTTAAGTTCATTCAGCAAAGACTCATTAGTCCATAAGTATCTGGCGATTCAGCGATTTTAAATCACCAGCACATATATATAGTGCGGTGATCGAAATATGAACTGCATCTGGCTTTTCTCTTATTGCAATTCATACTTGTGTGTATGCATATGACTTATTATAATTTTTTTTTAGAAAGTTAAGTTTATTTAAAATTTGTATAAATAAACAAAAAATTGTGTCTTAATTATAAGATATAAATTTAAGAGATAAAAATATTTTTAATGAAATTATTTTCTCAAAAAGATATTACATATACATATGTGTACATAGTTTATATTATATATATTAAAGTCATCTAAATTGAATGTTATTTTTAAATTGAAATGAGACATGAATTTTATTATATTTTAAATATTTTAAATTTCTTAAAATAAATTGCTCTTTAAAAAACCGATTGATATAAATACATATATTAATGTCTTTCATTAATACATATAATATATATAATGCCTATAACATCGTTTTCTAAATTTATATGAATAATCCAAAAACAATTGAAACTGAAAAGAACACTACACAAACTGAAAAGAAAACTATAGGCATTATTAGTGAATTACATAAAAATATAAAATATATTAAAAAATTGATAAAACAAGTTATATGTGGAAAAAACCAAGATATTATGTTTTATAATGTATATAGTTATAAATAAATATAATCACAGATTTCATATTAAAATAAAGAAAAAACCGAAATATTACAAGTAATTTGTATTTCATTTTAATATAAAAATATAGTATACTTAATTTGAATAACTTTATAATATTATTTCTATCGAAGATACATTTTAATTCTTAAATACATATTTTTAATATAATTGTTATTCTAATAATGTTTGACCACAACTAATATACGTTCGAGGTTCTTAGGCGAATAATAAAAACAAAAAAAAAAAATTGATATTATAAGTAGATATATTGATAATTGTTGAAACTATTGCAAAATTATCAGACAGTGGCCGATTGTGACATATGATTCATTAATTTTGTTAATGCACTAGATGAGATGACATAAAAAAACATATTTTTCTATTTTTTACGCAAGCTATATTCGGTGTAACTCGATACTTTGAAATAGTATATATAATACAAAAATAGCGTGGTAACGTATGAAGGAAAGATACCGATAAAAGTATGTCATCGTTCGAAAGCAAACAAACCAGACCGTTTGTCGGTGGTTGTTGATTGCATGATTCGCACTTGTGGATGGATATTATATCGTATTATTCTGCAATCAACTTGTCCTGTCGGTTAACTTCGATAACTGAATTGCGTCGTAATATATGTTCGATTAGGACGGACGAGAATAAGCAAGTTTCATCTCACTTTACGTTCATTGTTATTTCGTTGTTTGGGGATTGGTTTGTATTGTTTCAAATACCTACTTGAAAACTTACATTCATCGAATCTGTTTCATTATTTTCTGTAATGTTGGTGTATTTTATTTGAAATCGGTTTTGCCTATTCGTTGTTTCTATTGTATATTGTACGTCACGAGCGAGTTTTATTACAAAATTTCAAAGTGCATTTCAAATGTCATCTGATCTAAACAAAGATAATATATTTGTAAATTTGTTTATTTTGTTTGTATTTCATAAAGAAATCGAATGTTTTCAAGTTAATTAGCCATATATTTAAAAATGTTTATTTTTATGAATTGGTGAATCTATTTTGTTTTCCATATATAAATAATAAAAGAAAAAGATAAAGAATTAAAAATAAATTGAATAATATTCAAATATAAATTTAATATTTCCTAAATCGAAAAATTTCAATAAATTTATAATAAAAATAATATAATATATTATTATATTATAATAAAATGATATTTATCCAATTTTAATTATGAGATCTCATAATTTTATGATTTAATTAAATATAATCTTAATCTAATTAATTCTAATTTAGTTCTTTTACAATGTAATTATAGATATATAATATGAAAATTAAAATAAAACTTAAATTACTTACATTAATGTATTAATTGTTTATTTTAGTTACTATTACTAATTATATTACTATTTATTATTAATTATTTAATTTAATGTAATATATTGATATTATATTATATTATATATAATATTATATAAATATATTGATTTAACATATTAATGATTTAATTTAATTATATTAATGTCTAAGCGATATGTTTTTTGGCACCTTAACTTTCATTTCTTTTGTCTTCTACTCGTTATTCTTTTCTAAAATTAAAATATTAAACTTGAATAAACAATGAGTTTGATTAATTGAACTATACCAAAAGTACAATCAATATTTTTGATGAATAACAAAGTTTTAACTCCACATCATTTATATATTTATCCAATAAATTTATTGCAAAGTTGTCATAACCATACATTTAAACACTATTATATTCTTTTCTATATAATTCAATATATATAATATATAATTCAATATAAAATGATATTTATTAAAATATCATGGATTTTATGGAATAAAGAATTCAGTGTTTCCATTATCGCATTATTTGAATTCGTAAATCATTAATATATACAATATTTCATTACAAGAGAGAAACGAACGAAAAACTATGAAATGTAAAAGATAAAATACTTTATTCTGTATATTTATTTTAACACCATTTTCATGTTTTTCTCTTTATTTTTCGAACTATTGTAATTTCATAAATCGACAATGAACCAATTATAGTATAAGAAGCGAAATGTTAGTTGACGAGATTGAATAACAATTTGAATAAGTCAAATGAAATGGCGCATAATGATTTAAAATCGTGGAAAAAAATCAATTTTTCAAATTCATTTGAAAAATTCAAATTCAAATATATATATTTGCTATAAAATAAGTTGTTAAAAATAATTCTTTTACGAATTTTTTGGAGAGTACTTTAAAAACAGAAAAAAATATATAAATTATAAAATTATTCCATTTTTCTAAAAATTATCCAAATTTGTCTTATTATATCTTTTTATTGGTAAGAATTAAATTAATTAAAGCTAATTATATAGTATTAATAATATTTTCTTAATTATAAATATATGCAAAAATTATAAGAATGTATCCTATAATTTTAATTTCAAAAAGTCTTTAAAAATTGTTAAGAATTTAGTAAAGCTGATTACATACTATAAAAAGCATTTTTTAAGCTATAAATACATGCCACAATTATAAAAATATAGACCTTTTTATCTTTTCGAAAAATATTCTTTTGAATATTTTTTTATTATTTTTAGCATTTAAAAATGTTTATAAAGCGAAAATGACAATGAATTTTGTATAAGAATATTTTTTAGGACATACTTAAAATACGTAAAAATTTCTTGCTAATATTTGCCTATTTGAAAGTTATAAAAATGTATATATGTATAGTAAATATGTGTGAATCAGAAATTGATTTGTTAATTTCCAATAAATCTATTTATTAATTATTTAATTGATTAATTAAAAATTATAATTTTTATATTTAATTCTAAATATAATTAAATAATTATAATATTAGAAAGAAATATAATAATTTTAATCAATTAGTCAATTTTATTTTTATAATATATAATTATAAAATATAAAATAATTATCAAAATCGAAATCTATGATGAAAAAACTATAAAACTTTTTCTTTCATAGTAAATAATTTATAAGTAACCTGTTTTTTTTTGTGCGGTATACTTTGCGGTGTAGTATAGATCTTCTATTCTTAATAATTTAATAAATTTCGGTTCTAATGTATCTAGATATTTGATTCTATTGAGTTGATATATATCATTCGTGCTTAAATCTAATGAAGTGCAAAATTATTTTTAATATCTTACAAATCAATTGTATAATAAAATATAATTTGAATTAAAAAAGTAAACTATTCGAATAAGGGAATTTTCGAATAATCCAACGACTCCAACTTTTCTCAGATAAATTATTCTATATTCTTATTTTAAAAAAAATAATGTTTATTTATAAAAAATTAAAATAATGATATAAGAAATTGTATAATAAAAAAATTTTTTATATATGTATAATAAATTATACCATTAAGGATCTCATCTTTTTAAAAAAATTAAAAAATAAAATTATATAATTTTTTATATACGAAATAATTTTCAATTTTATTTTTCTTTCTTATTTCGTTTCTTCTTCTTTTTTTTTTTTAATGCCAAATAAAGATTTCCCAATATCATGTACTCCTGCTAATTCTATATTATAGTATTCTCATTGCATTCTAATTTCTTAAGAATTTTCAATTTCATTTCAATAATTAATACATTCTGTATAATATATACATATCCATATCTAATGTCAATTAAATTTTACTTCCATTGCTGTATTAAGGAAAAATTTCTTTACATTATAAATAGAAATAATTCAGATAACAGAATATTCGGTTACTAGAATTATTCTACCGAATATTACTAGTATATTAAAGTTCTATTGTATTAAAGACCAAGCAAATGATCTTAACAAAAAAGATCTTAGCAAAAGTTAAATTTATACATTATATGTGCAATTCTGATAACGTTGCTTGATATTATAATATCTGTATGAATTTTTTAGAATTAGATAAACTAAATCTTAATGAGCTAATAATAATTTATTATTATATATTTAAGATATTAAGATTTAAGAATTTATTATAGAAAATAATTATATTTCATTACACATTGTTTACATATATTTTACATACATATATTTTGAAAAAGAAGATAAGAATTACATAAATATATTATATGGCTTTACTATTTTTAAATCTTTTATAAAATATACTTAATATATTTGATAGATCAGATATATATAATTATAATAAAATATATATAATAAAATATAATTACATAGACGTAGTTTTTTATTTCTATGAATTTAATGAATTTAATATAAGTAATATTTTACATGATTTACTGATAAATTGTAGTCTATTTTATTTTATTCTCTGTTTTAGATTATTAATAAACATATAAATTTTTCTTTATAATAGAACAACTCAAATGGGCATTAAATTTTAAAATATATAGTAATATCTATTTATATTAATCTAATTTCTAATTAAATGATATAATAAATGATTTATTATAATCTTAAGAAACAAATAATTCTTTTATTTTTTGTATTTATATTTAAAATTATGAATTTTATTTTAGCTAAGTACAATAAAAATATTAATTAAGAATTTCACGAAAAATATTTTAAAATTTCAAATCTTAAAATATTTTAAAATATTTATTTCAAATTTCAAAATTTCATGTAAAATTATCAATATGAAATACTATCTATACGAAATGTTATATCTTTCAACGATTTAAAAATTTTGTCAATGATCACAATTAAAAAGCTGACATACACAGGAAAGATATTATGGCTGATATTGGCAAACGCGTCACGGCGAGATAAAACGTACATCACTTGGAAAGAATGTCGTTTCTCGAAATTGATAAAAGTTTCAACGGCAGGATTTCTGTCTTCGATAAAGTCATAAAACCATGGTATTCTGTATATAGAGATTTTGCGATATGCGATATACAGCTTGCAACCGATTATCGACCTCGCTTCCAAGACTAAATAAAGGTTAAAGAAATCTTGTCGTGGAAAATCTTGAAAAATCGTGCTCGTTTGATGGATGACTCAAAGTTTCGAATTATTTTACCTTGGTTTGAGGCTTCTAGCAAAAAACATTATGGATTCAGTTGGAAGGTATTGAAATTGATTCACGTGTAGAAGTTGAGAGTCATCGTTTATTTAGAAAGTTTATTTATTTATGAGTGACAGAATAGTAGTAGCGACATTAATAATGATAGTAATTGGAGGTGAGAGTTCGAGCGATTGCAAGAAATGTTCAAAGAAAGGTTGAGATAGATTATCGATTTTCTTCATCATAGTTTATAATCATCGTCGTCGTCTACATTACTGTTGTACCTTCGAGAAAGAATATATATTTATCGTGCTTCGATTCATAAAATTCTTTCTGTTTTCTGACTTTGAACGACGAAAAAAGAAATGGTAGAAAAAAAAAATGATAGAAAAGCGATCGGGAGAAAAGAGAAAGAAACAGAACTAAATTTACGGTATGCGTTTTGCAGGGCCTCTATCTATTTTCCCGTTTCCGATGAAGTAATTCCATTTTGCCGTTTTATTTCTTTTCTTAGTTGAAAGAGTAGTGACTAGAAAGAAATTAGAAAAATTTCTTTCTCGTCGAGCTCTCGAACGGTGAGAGATCTTTCGTGTAAAAGGTTGGAATAACGTTGACATACTGTTACGAGGACATGTATTTTTCATTTCAACGTCGAAACGATCCCTAAGCGATTTCCTTTTATTTAAGCCAGGACTAGGCGCAGGTGTGTACGTTTCCAATGTATTTCATTTGAGAAACGGTGAAACATACATTTGTAGATATGATAAAAAAAAAACATATGGAGACGTTACGATATCTCTGGGAATTTTTAAGAACAATTTTTGCCTACGGTCTCGGACTGATATAATGCATTCGGTCTGGTGAAACGCGTTCCACCCTTCTTTACGAGTATATATATACGATAAAAATGTATTATCAATAAAATACTGACACGTTTTCTACAAGATACCATGGTTCGTGTTAATAAATGTTATCGAATCCGTTTCAGGGTATTTATCGACGCGACAATAAGTACGTCTTACCAACGATTACAACCGTTTTAGTGATATTATGCGTTTGCAATTCCTTCATTGGTGCGCCTCAAATGATAGCACATTGCAAAACTTAGATAAGACATAAAGATATGATTTAACATGTATATATAGATATATTATCTTTAGATGTATCTATGTTTTTTAAGATATTAAAAATACGAAACAATATTTCAAACAAATAATATGAAAATGAAAATTATTAAAAATGTAATGATCTCTAATGATATGAATTATGATATAATTATATAATGAATTTAATTTTTAAATAATAATAAATATCTTTTATTTTTATTCTTGAAATGTTTTAAAACGTCAAAGCGTTTTTGAAACGTTATGCAAATGTAAGTGTTGAGTTATTAATTATTAATTATATTTAACATGTTTTAATATTAGCATTATGATTATGAAAAAATTATTTGCCTAATTTTAGTTTATCGCATGTGTATGACAAAATAATATAATATTAATTTTTTATTTAATAGTAGTATTTTTTAATTTTTTTAATTTTTTTTACATTTTTTTTAAAACATTTTTCGTGATATTATTTTTTTGCATTGACGTAATCCACAGAAAACTATTTATTTTAGATATTTATATAAATCGCACAGCGAAAAATTTAATGATCTTATAATCACAATAATAATTCAGCATATTCAATCTATTATATGTAATATTGATGGAACATTAAATATTATAATATCTTAACAATATTTTATAAAAAATATATGCAAAATATATAATTTATATATGTAATTTATGTATATATATATATATAATTTCATAAAAATTTCGACATCAGCTCCTAAAATATAGAATAACATATACGCAATTTTATTTAAATTTAAATGTTATTTCATAAAAATTATGTTATTTCATAAAATTCAAGTAATTAATATGATGATATGTGTTATTATTTTATATTTTTTTTTATATCGAACATTTTTTCGTTATTTCTAGTATTTATGAAAATAATCGTATGTAATAAATATTTAAATCGCATATTAATTTATAATTATAAATTATATTTCTTTTCTCTTTAGCAATAAGAAAAAAAAATAGATGCATACGTGTGTATATATATTACAAGTACATTTTTCTAGCATTTTTTACGTCCAAGTTCCGTTTTTTTCCTTCCTTCTTTTGCTATTTCGTCCAGTACATGATATGTTTCTTTGCGTCCTCGAGCCGTTTCCGAGTTCTCCGGTGTCATAATACGATATTCCCCGCGAATTCAGAGATCTCTTAATGGAGTTTACGTGTAAGAATGAGACAAGTTTGAATCGAGCTCCAACAAGAGATGGCATGCGAAGGCATTCAGAGACGGCATAGTAGAGCAGACGATGTTACTCAACCAAGGACGAAAAAGACTTAAGCTAGAGAAGAGAGATGGATGGAAAAGAACTACTTTCATTTCTTCTTCTGTTTGCTACTTATCTTTTCCACTTACGAGAGAGCTATATAAAATGCGACAAAAGTTAATTTTATTTTGCTTTAATAAAAGGAATTTGTAACAGAAAACTGCTGCTTTGTCTTTTTTATTTATTTTTTTTTATTTTCTTTTTTTTCATATATTATCTATTTTTATCTTTATATTTATATTTTTTTCAAATATTTATTTTTACTTAATGTGTTTGTTCCTTAAGAAATGAGAGAATTTCTAGATCAAGTTATTGGAATTTAAGTAATTTGAGAAAATTTGAATAATATGAACTATCTATTTTGCTTGGTTTTTTTAAATTTTTATTCCATTTTTGGCAATTCATATTTTGTGATTATTCAAGTTATTTGAATTCAAATTGCTATTTTTTAAAAGATAACGAAAATTTAAAAAATTCTGAATTCAAACTTGGAAAAATTTAAAATTAAGTAAAATAAATGATTTATATTTATTAAATGATTTTACATCAAGTTATTTTACATCAAGAAATTCAAGATATTTGATGCAAACGAATATGAACTGTTAAGAATGAAACTTGAAATTTGAAAAGAATGTTTCAAGTCAAATAAATAATTCTTATTATTCAAATTGCTTCAAATTATTTGAATACATTTGAATATTCGCTTTAAATATTTTTTTATTTGACTTGAAAAATTCTTTTAAGTATTAAATGATATT